GAAACAATAGGTCGTGAACTATTGCGATTTGATAGATGTGATGATGATTGACTAAGAGAAGTTTGTACATGTGTAGAATTAGTTTCGTTTATATTGCGATGAGGCTCAGCCGGAAGTATAAGTGCGTGCGACATTGGTTTAGAAGGAGCACCTTGGTGTGATCGTTCACGTTGCATTGATAAATGAGGGATAGTTGAGGATATTGTTTGTGGGGTTGATCCCGAGGGCATAGTAGTTGATAACACAGGTTGTCTTGATTGTGGACCAGTATCTTGCATGGAAATTGGTAAGGTCATTTGTAAAGGACGAGCCTGTCGATTTGAATTAGATGACAAATCGGTTTGTACGGTGGAAGTTGTCATACGCGCTGATGGTAACATCAATGTATTTGGTTGAGAATTATGAAGTAGCGATGTATTAAAATTATGTTGAATAGACGGTGCATTCGTATCACTTTCAAAATTTTGTTGTTGTGTATTAATATTCATTCCTATAGGAGGTCTAGCGACTAAAGTGGGGGACGTGTTAACTAAAGTTCTGTAAGTTACCGTTGAATCGAGAGCATATATTTGTGATGGGTTCATTATAGGAACTACTTGAGGTGTGGTAACTGCTTGTTGCATTACTCCTCCTGGTTGTCCACTTTGAGGACCTCTGGGAGATGATGTTAAACCGATTTGATGACTAGACACACTTTGCATTGTCATATTTCCCGAATTTGGCATAATCGCTTGAGGTTGTTGAGGAGTATGCTTCATGTGTGGACTAGGAGAATGACGTGACATTGGTGTTATTCTAGTTGGAATATTGGGATTAGGCACATGTGTATTATAAACCAATCCATGACCTGATATTAACGGCGACATTTGGTCTGGGCTTTGAGGGAAGTTAAGACTTCCCTGGTGAAAAAATTTTCAGATAAAAATTCATTTACAATTTTGCCGTAATAAATGAAAATGTTGGTACCAACCTGTTGTAAAGGACTTTGCTGGGTGTTAGGTCCTTGTTGTATATTTGGACGTATTGCTTGAATCGGTACATTCGTTTGTTGCATTCCCACAGGTTGATGGGCTGTCGGTTGGGAACCGCTAATGAGTAACCTCCTTTGACGTTCTTGACCTGAGGCTGAGCCTGTTGAGGGAGTATTCAGAGATGGATTATCAAGAGGTGATTTGTGCATGTTTATGTTCTTCCAATTCCTTTAATAATAATTCGTTTGTGAAAAAAAAAAAAAAAAAAAGAGAACGGTTTTGAAACGCAAGCATTATACATTGTGGTTCGGTGGCTTAGTATTATATGATGGATCTAGGTATTGGTATATCTATATGAGGGAAACCCTGGACGTGAATATTTAGATTATCACTAATTGACTTATTGCATTATATTATATATATGATAAGTCCGCTAAAGTGATAACCTAAATATTCACTTCCGGGTTTTCCTTCTACAGTACTCATATCATATCTTGAATAATGTCTCATCAGAAAATACGTACTAACATAACCCAAGCATGCACAAATTGTCAAGAAAGCCATAAAAAATGTTGAATAACAGATAATAAGTGATCAGTGTATCACACAATTACTGCAGGGGATAAAAAATATTTTTTACATCTACAGTTTTTTTCTAAATTACATAATTGTAGGTTTCTTCAAATATTTATTGTAGGAAATAAAGATTATTTCGCACTTTTTTTCTCAATTTCCTGCATTTTTTTTTTTTTTTTGAATGAATCATATATTTTGAGTTTTATAATTGTTATGCTTGTTACATTCAACCAATCAGCTGAGTAAACATACTTCACATGACATGATCTACCATACTAGATCGTGTTCACTTCGCTTCAGACAATTTCACGAACTCAAAAATTTCATTTTATATTATCAGTTATGATATTACAAGGACATTTTCGGACTGGCTGGTTTGCATTAATTTTAATAACCTAATTTCGGAGTGATCGTATTTGCAGATCTCCACAATTAGAATTGTGCATACAATTGTCGTTGTTCAAACTGTATAAATGAATTTAGGCGTATATCAGTGTTGGAAATCAACGTTCTTGAGAATATTAAAGGAGTTATCTATATATCGCACAGCGCGATGCTCTTATTTGTCGTCCAACCAATCAAATTTCAAGATCAGATGTACTGTAAAAATAATTTTTTAAAAAATCACTAATACCTTAATTTTGTACAGAAAACAACTTTACGCATTCTAATAAAAAAAAATTCTTGCAAAATTTTGATATAAACTATGTATTTTTCTAACTCTAGCATATATAAAATAATTTTTGTCGGGGATGATGGTGAAATCGGATGATGCTGAAATTCGAGATCTCGATTTAAAAATATAAACCCTACTAAAACCCACCTATACTTTTATTATAAACACTAACCCTAAACCCTAACCTAACTATAAAAAAAAAGCTGTAAAAAAATAAGCTAAAAAAATTTTAAAATTTCATATTAAAATAAGTTAAAATTTCAGCATCATCCGATTTCAGCATCATCCCCGACAATTTTTAATTAATTTAAAGCCAATACTATATAAAATTAGCTTAGAAACAACTTAAAAGATTATTAGTAAAAAAAAAAAAAAAAAAAAAAAAAAAAATCAAATTTAACTGCTAAATCAAATTAGCTAAAATTTTAATATAATATAAAAAAATTTATTTAAATTATTATTTATAAAA